GTCATCCTCACTCACCCTTACTGCTACTCGTCAAGGTTTCGGCGAAAACGAAAGCATGGGAAGAAGGAAGGAACGCAGACAGCGGATGTCCCTAGTGTCTGTGTGGTGCACTCTCAGGGGCCCAATAGCAACTTAATACAACATGTGAGCCCGCACGGGGGGTCAAGTTGAAGGTTCAAGTTGAAGGTTCAAGTTGAAGGTTGCCTTGCCACTTGTCTTGGATGGGTTGACCAATCCAGTAAATGAATTACTTAATTCGTCGGAGGTTGAATTGGTCGGAGGTCTAGTGGATTCCTTGATGGACGAATCGCTGCCTCACTGCATTACTGCATCGTTGACTTACTGGGTTGTTCAAATACTGAAACACAAGATCACCGTGCAATTAAATTACTGAGTTAACTCAATCCGGAAAGTCACAGTAAGCCGCAAAGAAAAGCAATACTGTAAAGATACATTGTTGTGTTTGTACTCCCCCCTTAACTCTTGTCGCTAGTTCCACGCATCGCTCCTCGTTGCCTCCTGCCAATTTCCTGTTGCTTCCCTCATCCTTACTCCTCCTCCCTCGAACCGCAGAGAAAAACAAAAATGTAAGATTACATTATTGCGTTCATCCTCACCCCTTTCGCCCACCAGGCGCACCAGGCGCTCCAAGCACACCATTCACACCAGGGAACACCAAGCACACCAGGGCACACCACCGGGCACACCAGGCATATCACGCACACCCAAGCATACCCAAGCATTCCAGGCACACCAATACGCCAGGCACATTGGCGCGCCGCGGGCACGCAACGCCACTCCAGCGCTGTGGAGGAGGAAAACTTGCGTTTCTTGCTTAAGAAGATCACAAATTTTTCCTCCAACCTCGTCTGCCGAATCCGCCCCACCAGCACACGGAAAACACACAGACCCTTCGTACAAATCGCGTGCATGTCTCCGCGTGTGCGTGTGTGTGTGCGTGTGTGTCTGTGCGTTTGTGTGCCTGGTGCGCTGGTGGTGTGCCCGCGGCGTGCCGCCCGTGCGTCGTGAGCGCGCTTACGTTTCCACCAGTCAAGGCCTGGTAAAACTAACAGCCTCGCAAAGCGAAGCGGATACCTTAAACCCATGGGCGTGACAAGTGGTTTCGCGGCGTCAATGTGCAGACGCCTCAAAAACACATGTTTGAAGATTTGCGAGCGTTTCCTGCTTCAAAAAAAAGAAGAATCTGCGAAACTGATAATACCAAATCATTACTGGGAATTTGTCCAGAATGTTGTGCGAACTCCCCCCTCCCCGACCTTTCCTTGTCACTCCTCACAATACCCCTCATCATCATGCTGCTCCTCCTCCTCCATATTCTGCCGAAAAAGTGGGTTGATTCCCGCCTCCCGGATCAATCTCCGGGAGGGCCTCAAGGGCGAGACAGGGTCAGTCCCACTGCCTCCGGAAATCAAAACACCCTTTCGGCAAAACCCCTCCCCAATCTACCGCAGTCCCAACGGGCAAGTGGCGTGTGAAGACATTAACAAGCCAGCCTGGGAATATTGGAATATTACAAGCTACAACATAGAAGTACCCAGGTAGAGCAAAAACGAAGCGCGCACCCCTAGCATAAAACTGTGCTACCACCAAACCGAAGCGGCTCGATTCGAGACGCCCTTAAATATGAGACCAAGAAAACGAGACACCTTTTTTTTGCGAGACGCCCCAGAAAAGGAAACCATACTCAAAACATAATTGTCTTGGGCGACATCGCGGGATGAGTGATTCCGGCGACGACGCTCGCCCAATGTGACACAACATATGAGGAACAAAACGCGTCTCAAATGCAACCTCCTTGTTGCACCATACCGAGCACTCCATGCCGCTGGACCCCTTTTGCAAAGCAGGGAGCAGCAGAACACGGGTGGCCCTGCATATGAGGAATAAAACGCGTCTCAAATGCAACCTCATTGTTGCACCATGCCGAGGAGGCTGCATTTGAGACGCGTTTTATTCCTCATATGCAGTGCCACCCGTGTTCTGCTGCTCCCTGCATTGCAAAAAGGGGTCCAGGGGCATGGAGTGCTCGGCATGGTGCAACAAGGAGGTTGCATTTGAGACGCGTTTTACTCCTCATATGTGGTGTCACATTGCTCGCCCAAACGCTGGACTACTCATTTCTTGAGAAATGAGTAGTTGAGTCAACTACTTATTTAAATAAGTAGTTGGGCCAACGGGGAATTGAGTGAGGAGGGCGAGGAGTTGGGGCGGAGGCTGACCAGGACGAACACGAATTGGGAAAGAGGTGATGAGGAGGGCGACTGCGAAAATGGGAGGAGGAGGAGAGGGGGAGGAGGAACGGAGGAGGAACGGGAGCGAGAGGAACTACCCATGGGTAGGTGGGCCTTGCCTGCAGGGGCCCCCCTCCGCCGAAAAAGTCAGAGGTCAAACTATGGGGTCGAAAACTTTACCTCTGACTTCCGTGCTTTTCCCCACGACGCGAGCGAAGATCGAGATGCCCCTGAGAACCCCCCACCCCTCCGCGCGATGATGTGGGCGGCGATCAAGTGGGCGAAAACGGGTGGTATTAAGTCTGGGGGATTAATTACAGGAGCAGTCGCTCTCGCAGCAAGCCCTTGCTATTCCTCGTCCCCCAAATCGTGTGGCCATCTTCTGAGATGATTCAAAAGCCCCCATTCTGCCGCGCGCGACGGGTCGCAGGTGGGTCGCGTGACGGGTCGATGAGTTTTGTTCGTTTTTTTTTTCTGTTGGGGACCCTTTGGGGGGGGAAATGTGCAGGCGGGCGGGTCCGCGGGTGGGTCGCGGGGCGAAGGCGACGAACAGCAATAACAACGGTAACGATATCAGAACTTTGGGGCCGCAGAAGCCCACTGCAGGCGCGCTCATGAACCGCGTAAGACCGTTCGGCCCCCTCGCGCTGATATGCGAGGCATGGGGGCATGGCCAAGATGTGACTCGCATGCTCTACGCGTGAAGCAGCAATATCCACACCGTCGGGATGAGGAAAGAACGAGCCGAAACAGACGAGTGGATCGGAAGGCCTGGGTCTTCCTCTTCCTCTCCTGATTATATGTCGTCGTCGCTGTTGTCGTCGTCCTCCTACACCTTTCTCCGCCGTTGCCATTTTGGCCACTCTGGTAATACAAGAGAAGCCGTTCTCCTATTATTGGATGGATCTCTTGTTCTGTCAAGAAAAAACCTTCTCTTGGGTTTAGACCGTGTTGGATGCTCGGGGAATAGTTTTTGGGTGTCTCGTTTTATTGCATGCATGTTTAACCGTGGAAACGAGCCACTCTTAAACATGCGGCCAATAAAACGAGGCACCCCCGATACAGCAGAACCCTGTCTCAGTCGCGCACGCAGGGACAGTCTAAGACCGTTCGGCCCCTCACTCCAGTAAGTTTAAAATCAGTCGTTATGTTGGCGGAAGTGCAAGTTTTAGCTTGCAAATGCAACTCGATCGAATTAGCCTTGCTCATGTAAGGTCAACTCTTGAGATGTCAGAAGTGCAATTTATAGAAGATCAATTTGTGGCGGACGGACAGGGACCATGGCGTCCTATTCAGTCAGATCAGGTGAGACCTCGCCGTCGCCGGGGGCTGCGAGCTGCGAAGCTGTCGCCACTTTCGTGGGCTCCGGAGAATTCCAACACCAGTGCGTCCTATTCAGATCAGGTGAGACCTCGCGTCGCCGGGGGGCTGCGAGCTGCGAAGCTGTCGCCACTTCCGTGGGCATCTTGGAAGTCCAGCGGAGTGACGTCCTATTTAGATCAGATGAGGCCTCGCCGTCGCCGCGAGCTGCGAAGCTGTCGCCACTTTCGTCGGCACCTGGGGAGTCCGGCGGAGTGACATCCTATTCGGATCAGATGAGGCCTCGCCGTCGCTGTGGAGCGCCACAACAACATGGCCCGGGCCACGCTGCTGGTCCAGCGCGCCACTGAAAAAAATCGCTACCCTGGTTCCTTATCCTGCCTCTTTCGTTGTCGTACCCTTCCTCCTTCCACCGTCTCCTCTTCCGTCCTTCTCCTGCTCCTCGCTCTCAGCCCCATTTTATCTTCGAGCCTTGGGCCTCCGTCCTCGTCCTTGCATTGCTGTCCTGTGAGTCGTGCAACGCGCGCGCATCCCATGTAGCTGCCGCAGCAAAAGGCGGCTCCTGTGTTGTCATCAGCCGTGCCAATCTGGGCCAACTCCTCCTGTCACTGAATGCAAATAGGTTGGGTACGTTTCAAGGTCATTGCTCTCTCTCTCTCTCTCTCCCTCTTGCTCTCTCTCTCTATCTCTCTGCTTCTCTCTCTCTCTCTCGTTTCTCTTGCCCCTCATGCTCATGCTTCGCCTCTCCCTCGTCATTATATAATCACCCCCTGCTCCCTACTCACTCCCCGCCCTCTCCTGCAGCCCTCGGCATCGAGGCAAACGGCTGGGAGGAGGAGGGGGAGAAAGAGGGGGAAGAGGGGGAGGAGGAGTGGGAGGAGGGGGAGGAGACGGAAGAGGAGGAGGAGGAGGAGACGGAGGAGGAGGAGACGGAGAAGGAGGGGAAGGATGAGACGAAGGAGGAGGAGGAGGAGGAGGAGGAGGAGGAGGAGGAGGAGGAGACGGACGAAGGGGAGGAGGAGGAGGGGGAGGAGGAGGAGGACGGGAAGAAGGGGAGGAGGAGGAGGAGGAGGAGGAGGAGGAGGAGGAGGAGGAGGATGCGGGAGGGGGAGGAGGAGGAGGAGGAGGGAGGAGGAGGAGGAGGAGGAGGAGGAGGATAGGAGGAGGAATAGGAGGAGGAGGAGGAGGAGGAGGAGGAGGAGGAGGAGGAGGAGGAGCAGGAGGAGCAGGAGGAGAGGAGGGACGAGGAGGAGGAGGAGGAGACGAAGGAGGAGGAGGAGAGGAGGAGGAGGAGGAGGAGGAGGAGGAGAGGAGGGGGGAGGAGGGGGAGGAGGAGGGGGAGGAGGGGGAGGAGGGCAGAACGAAAGGCTAAAACGGGGGGAGAGGAGCGAGGCCCGCGCTCCCCGCCGAGCGACGGCGGGCCGCCGCCTGGGGGGGCCGCGGCGCGGCCTGCCCACGCGGAGCTCCTCCGGGGCGGTTCGCGGAGGGGGGTTGGCGGCGCGCAGAGGGGGCAGGAGGGGGGGGGGAAGGAGGAGCAGGGGGAGGAGGGGGAGAAGGAGGAGGAGGAGGAGGAGGAGGAGGAGGAAGAGGAAGAGGAGGGGGAGGAGGAAGAGGAGGAGGGGGAGGGGGAGGAGGAGGAGGAGGAGGAGGAGGAGGGAGGAGGAGGATGAGGAGGAGGAGGAGGATGAGGAGGAGGAGGGGGGTTGGCGGCGCGCAGAGGGGGCTGCAGGCGCTGCCATCACGCGCGGTCATGACGTACTTGCTGCAGCACGGCTGGGACCCAGTCAGCCCTACGGAGTGGGGCACCATGGTATGCGGTTATCCAGACCGCGAGGCTTTCATGTGTGACCAGCTTTCCCCGCAGGATTCTGTTGCACCGCTGATCGGTGAGTTCGAGCACGCGGTGCAGCTGCAGAACTAGCAGACAGCTGCCAAGCATGTTTGCGGGTCGGCCCTCGAGGGATGCATCGACAATCGATCTTGGGGGGGAAGGCTTCTCAGAATAGACGAGCGCGTTCCACTACTCGCAAAGTGACTGCTCGCACATGGCCTGGATCCGCCGCGGGGGGCATACGCTAAATCACACCGAAGCAGACATGTGTCTGTCGGACGCTTGCGAGCAGGCACTCTGCGAGTAGCGGAACGCGCTCGGTGATAGAAGGAGGCTCCTTCTCAGAAGGTGCCGGCCTTACATCTACTGACAAGGCCCGCGCCTTCTGAGAACCAGGGGTGCTTCTAAGAAGCCTCCCCCCCTCTGCGCGTGGCCGAGAGGGGGGGGGGCGGGGGGCGAGGCCGCGAGGAGGGAGGGGACGAAGGACAGGGAGGGAGGGGGGAAGAGGAGCGGAGAGGGGAGGAAGGGCGGAGGGAGGGTGGAGGATGGGGGCAGAGAGGAGGGGGGATGGGTAGAGGGGCGGAGGATGGAGGCGGACAGGAGGGAGGCGGATAGGAAAGAGGGAGGGATGGGGAACGGAGGGAGGGATGGGGGAGGGGTGGTGCCGGCTGCGAGCGCCGCTGGAGCCCTGGCCACGCCGGCGGGCCCCGGTGGACACCCACCTTTGGCGTGTGGCGGGTGCTGCGGCCGCGGGTCACCCAGACATCCTCGCGTCGTGAAGCAGAACAACATGTCGGACATGCTCTGCCAATCCTCGGCCTGGGGGGGGCCCGTTGCGGGGACTCGGGGCCGACATCAAGCGAGCTGTTTCGCTTCTGATGGGCTTCCATGGCCTGGAGACCGCTCCCAGATGGCCCCAAGAGTGCCCCAAGAGCGCCCCTAGAGCGCTGCAAGAGGGCCACAAGAGGAAGCTTTGGCGGCTTTCAAGGGCAGCGCTCGTTCAGAAAAGTCCTTCTTTGATCGACGATCCTCCAAGATGACTGCAACAGGGCCCCCAAGGCTCCCAAGAGGGTCCCAAGAGAGCTCCAGGAGGGCCTCAATGGCCTTCCAAATGGCCCCAACACGGCCCTAAGAAGAGGGTCCCAAGAGGGCTCCAAGAGTCGATGTTATGGCTCCAGAAAGGTGATATCCTCCCAGATGGCCCCAAGAGGGCGTCCAAGGCTCCCAAGAAGGCCCCAGCAAGGCCCCAAGAGAGGTTCGGAACCTCCCAAAAATGCCCCAGGATGGTCCTAAGAGGCTCCCAGAGTAAAAATCCGCAGCTGCATAGATGTTTGAATCCTCGTCGTCGTTGTCGTCGCCGTCGTCTCTATCGCCTTCTCTCCCATCCTTCTCATCCTCATTCTCTTCCTCCTCACCCCACTCCTCCTCCTTCTCTTCCTCCTCCTCCTCTTCTTCGTGTTCCTTCTCCTACTAACCCTCCCAACCAGGGTTAATATTTCATCCTCCTCCTCCCACATCCCCCCTCCTCCTCCTCCCTCCTCCTCCTCATCTTTCATCCCTCCTCCTCCTCCTCTTTTCCTCCTCCCCCCCTCCCCCATCTCCTTCCCCTTCCCCTCTTTCTCCCCGCCAGGGTTCCACCTCCGTCTCCACCCTACCTCAACCTCCTCTCCCTTCCACGCTCTTTGGACACCCGGAACGGGTACGGTGAAGGTGAACATGGGCACGATGCCCAACAACAGACTTTCTCCCAAACCGACACCGGCCGATGTTGGGCAGGCGACTTTCCACCTTAAGTGGTCAACGTCCACGGCGACACCAACAACGAGTCTTGCTAAAATCAGGCAGGGCCTGTCGTCGGTCTTCGTCCCCGTTTCTGTTTCATCTATTTCGATCGTACGACGAACAAACCCTCCGCCTGAGGGGCAACGACAATTAGGGGGAATAGCTCAATGCGGGGATCATCGAGCTTGAATCCGCGATTGGCCGCCGATTGCGAAAACGCGCGCTCGTGAGCGAAGTGGGCTGTCGGGCTCCCATCGGCGATCAATTGGCGATGGGGGGTCGATGCATCCCCCCTGAGCCCATCCCTCCTGCCGTTGCCCTTGATACTGCCACCCGCCCTCCTGAAGAGGAGGAGGAGGAGGAAGAGGAGAAGGAGGACGAGGATGACGAGGAGGACTCTCCCATCCAGGGGGGAGGACGCCCTCCTGGGGAGGTGGCGGAGGGAGGAGGACTCCCCCCTATGGAGGTAGACAAAGAGGCGACGACGAGGGGGAGGAGGAGGGGGAGGGGGAGGGCGAGGAGGAGGAGGAGGAGGGGGAAGAGGAGGAGGAGGAAGAGGAGGAGGAGGAGGAAGAGAAGAAGGAGGAAGGGGGGCGGAAGTGAATGAGGAACATTCTGATGATTGCGGTGGTGACGGGGGGGGCGAGGAGGAGGAGGAGCAGGAGAAAGAGGAGGAAGCAAGAGAAAAAGAATACACATAACAACAATAATCATACTAATAATAATACTACTAATACTAATATTATTAATAATAATAACGATAATAATAATACTCATAATAATAGTAATAATGATAATAATAATAACAACAATAAGAATATCAATAATAATAATAATAATAATAACAATACTAACAATAATACCAATAAAAATATTATCAATAATAATACGAATACTAATACTAAAGTAATAATAGTAATAATGATAATAATGATAATAATAAAAACAAGCACAATACTAATACTAATAATAACATGAATAATTGTAATACTAATAATATTGATAATAATGGGTCGAAGATGAGGACGAGGAAACGGAGGAGGAGGAGGAGGAGGAGGAGGAGGAGGAGGAAGACGAGGAGTGATGACCCCTACTCCTGCCCCCCGCTCACCCTGGGAAGAAAAACGGCCGAGGAGGGAGGCCGTGGTCCTCCGCGCGGGCGGCGGCCTGGGCGGCTGCGCCGGCGCCGCCAGTCGGCTGCGGCAGCGCTTGAGAAACCCGCTGGCCCCTGCACGCATCGCCGCGCGGTGTCCGGCCCGCCAGGGACTATTTGAGACTGCGGTTGCGAGAGGTGGAGAGAGAGAGAGAGAGAGAGAGAGAGAAACAACATAGAGAGAGAGAGAGAAGGAGAGAAAGAAAACAAATCGCCAGCAGCACGTGTGGAGGGAATGTTGTACATGTCAACGCAGTCGAAGGATGCACCGGGAGGAGGATGGGGGGAAACTACGCGGCGGCAGAAGGGTCTGGGCGCTGACGCTGGATTCAGTTCGCTTCGACGAGAAACCAAGAACGCCCAGGTGCCTGCGTCATGACGTGAGGCGCCCTAGGGTCCTCGACTGTCCTCCACCGCGCAGCGCTAGAGCCTGGTGGGCCACGGCCCCCCCCCCCCCCCAGAACCAGAGTTTCCGCGCATATGGCTCCAATGCCCTCAACAGACCACCGACAACCGAGGTGCCACCGAAGGCTTAGCCCGAGCCCCGAGCAGCTTCAGATCCAGGAGGACCAGAGGAGTCCTACAATGCCCAGCAGCGAGGAAAGGGCAGCGAGGAAGGGGGAGACGAACCCCTTGGCACACGACTCCACGGGCGACACCTGGCTGAGGGTCAGGCTGCCGTGGGAGGCTGCGTGGCCAGGGACCCCGGAGAAGGGGACCCCGCTTGGGGGGCCGTCCCTGCGCGGGGGTTTACACCCCGAAAGCCCGACGGCCCCCGCCTCCGCCATGGGCCGCTTTGGCCCGACACCCCACTTATGGAGGTGCCCCTCCGGGAGGAGGAGGAGGAGGAGGAGGAGGAGGAGGAGGAGGAGGAGGAGGAGGAGGACGAGGAGGACGAGGTGATCCCCGTTTAAGCATCCCATCGCCAACGCAGGCGTTCCCTGCCTGGCCGCCGACGCTTAAAGTGCGTGGGGGGGGGGGGGGGAAGGTTCAGTCCTCGGGCCCCAATAAGGGCCCGTGAGAAGCTCCAAAGGGTCTCTTTTCTGCAGCCCTCGCTCCCCCCCCCTTATCACACCTCCCCATTGCGCAACGCCCGACCAGGTCGGAGTTGTTCACCCTTCCGACCCCGATCCCGGGCGCCACACTGCCATGCCTCCGCGAGGGGAGGGGAGGCTCGAAGACAGCGCCTCGCTGTGCGGCCTGGTTTCTCGTGTCCCAGACTCCGTCTCGCGCAGGGGAGCTCCCGGATACCTGCAGAAGACCTCCGCTGACGGGAGCCCCTCGGGGGAGCCCGCAGGAAGGAAGACGGACGAGGACGGGGAGGAGGAGGAGGAGGAGGAGGAGGAGGAGGAGGAGGAGGAGGAGGAGGAGGAGGAGGAGGAGGAGGGGAGGAGGGAGGGAGGGAGGGAGGGAGGGAAGGAGGGAGGGAGGGAGGAGGAGGAGGAGGAGTCTGACGGGGAGGACGAGGACGAGGAGAACGGGGGAGCAACGAGGAGGACGAGGACGAGGAAGACGCGGACAGAGACGAGGGCGGGGCGGCGCAGTCGTCTCTTTCTCCGCTGGCGAGCGGCGGCTCGGGGCCCGAGCCTGGGCCTCCCTGCGGCGGACGGCGGCCGGCTGCACAGCGCCGCCTGGAGCCGGCGGGGCGGGCATCAGGAGCCAGACAGCTATACAGGTCCACCTCCTTTCTCCTCCTTCCTCCCTCGTCCTCCTCCTCCTCCCTCCTTCTTCCTCCCTCCTCCTCCCTCCCTTCCTCCTTCTTCCTCATGCTCCTTCTTCCTCCTTCCTCCTCCTCCTCCCCTCCTCCTCTTTTCTCCTCCTTCCTCCTCCTCTTCCTTCCTCCTCCTCCTTCCTTCCTCCTCCTCCTCCTCCTCCTCCTCCTCCTTCTCCTCGTCCTCCTCCCTCCCTCCTCCACTTCCTCCCTCCTCCCTCCTCCTTCCTCCCTCCCCCTTCGACCGCAACGGTCGGCTGCGCTAAAAGGCAGTTCACTTCACTGCCAGATGGTACTGTCTGCCTGCTTTGCTTGACCCAGGTGCCCCAGCAAGGCTGTTACACCACTGATGTTCTGCGAGTTGCGTGCCGGCCCCTGCTGACAGGCTCATTGCTGAATCATCGCCGAAACCCAAAGAATTGTCATCTCGCATCCTCCTCCTCTGACTTAGATTTTGAACAAACGGCATGAAGAGAAACTTTGCACGGTCCGTGCGGAGTTCTTGGATCTGCGCTCGGGCCCCCCCCCCTCCCTGGCGCGCAGTGCGCGCCAGGGGCGGCTCTGGAGGCGCCGCCAGGGGGCCCAGCGCAGACACAGGAAATCCGCGCGAACCGTCGAAAGTTTGAGTTTACGCGCCCCTTGTTTCTTCGATGATTGTCTTCCTCCTTCCTTCGGCGGCGAGCGAGGGGGGAAGTGGGAAGGATTCGGATTCGGATTCGGAACGATTGCGAAGCAATATCGACAGGACCACACTACCTGGGAGCCAGATCGCGCTGGAGGCGACTCAGGTACTCCCGCCTCTTCTTGGTTATAGATCTGGGATTACAGGGTGCGCCCAAGGCCCGCAACTGTTGCTGGCCGATGGCACCACATTCTCAGAAGGCGGCGGGACTTCTCAGAAACCCCAGCGCCTTCTGAGACGATTTCTGTGTCGTCGGGGAAGGCTCAAGAAACTTCTCAAAGGCCGGGGGACTTTTGAGCCGTCTGAGAAGGCCCGCCCCTCCTCCCTTACCCCCCTCGTTCGCCGCCGATTTCTGGGAGGGCGCCTGGGGGGAGGAGCGAGGTGGATCTGCCTGGCGGTCCTCCTCCGAGGCATGGCTCCGGAGCCGCCCCGCGCGAGGCGCGACGCCTCGCGCGGGGGCGGCGGCGCCTGCACGCCGGCGCTGGTGGCGCGGCGCGCGACGAGGGTGCGGCACAATGGGCCACACCTCCAGCGCACCGGGACGAAACCACGACGCGGATAGGCAAGCGCACTCCACGACTCGCAGGGTAGCTGCCCGCAAATGGCCTGGATCCGACGCTGGGCATCGCTCGGACGTCCATTTCCTGTGCTTTTTTCGGTATTGCGTGTTTTTTTTTCGCCAACCGATCAAGGATGCTCCTCGACGGTCCTCGCCGAAGGAAACATGCAGACGTCCGAGCGATGCCAAAGGCGCGGGGGGTTCACGATCCACTGACTACAGCGAGACGGACATTCGTCTTTCCGACGCGTGCGAGCCGGCAGGTGGGCGAGCAGCGGAGCGCGCTCGGTGCGCAGAGTCTCGGCTCCTCCGCCTCTCGGCCTCTCTGAAGGGGCCCCAGGACACACAAATAAATACACACACATAAAAAGATGTCCCATCTTTTCCCATACTTTCTGGGTTTTCGTCTTCCCCCCCCACTTCCCACATTTTCCCTATATTTTCTTGGGAATCGACGATTAATTGTGTCTGTGTCTTTGTTCCCCTCCTGAGACCTCTGCGCCAGAAGACGACGCCCGCCCCCAGCCAGGACCCCCTGGATCACCAGATCTGGAGCGGGGGTCCTGGCTGGGAGTGAGTGGGGTGGTGCTGTCCTCAAGGATGGGGATGAGGATGGGAATCGACGATTAAATGTGTCTGTGTGGGGATGGGGATGAGGATGGGGATGAGGATGGGGATGAGGATGGGAATCGACGATTCATTGTGTCTGTGTGATTTTTCCTCTCTCCGCCTCTCGGCCTCTCGGCCCTCTGGGGGCCCTCGCCCGACCCGAAGGGGGGCCTGGCGGATGGACAGAGGCGCGCGCGCCACGGCTCGCAAGGCAGCAGCTGCCCGCAGGCGGCCCGGATCCGCCGTGGCAGGACGACGCCCACGCCGCGCGCGCACATCATCAAGGGGCCCAATTCCCATACAGGCCTCGGAACAAATTGGCGAACACATGCCACATTCATCCGTCAACGCCTCCCCCTCCCCCCAATGTTCCAAAGTTGGCGGTGGGTCTGATGAGATGCACTTCGACCGCAGTCTCCCCCGCGCGTGCCAACATTGAGTTTGGGGGGAGGGGGAGTGTTCAGTAATTGCTTCCCTCTGCCGTATTTTCCTATATTTTCTTGGGAGTCGACGATTACTTGTGTCTGTGTGTCTCCTCCTGGCTCTCGGCCTCTCGGCCCTCTGGGGGCCCTCGCCCGACCCGAAAGGGGGGCCAGGCGGAGGGACAGAGGCGCGCGCGCCACCGCTCGCAAGGCAGCAGCTGCGCGCAGGCGGCCCGTGGATCCGCCGCGGCAGGACGACGCCCACGCCGCGCGCGCGCACACTGTCAAAGGGGCCCCAGGACACACCAAGAGATACACACAGATAAAACGATGCCCCATATGTTTCTACATGTTCTGGGTTGTTTTGTCTTCCTCCCCACTTCCCATAGGTTCCTATCTTTTCGGGGGGATCGACGATTCATTGTGTCTGTGTGTGTGTGTGTTTCTTTCCCTCCTGAAGATTCGTTAGAACACCCGAAGGACAGCTGGACATTCGTCTTGCATCGCGCGAGAACAAATCAGGAAGACGGCTCGGGACGAAAGGCTGGTCCAGGGGCAGGTGTCAAGAGTGCCGGCCGGGTGTGGCGGTGGGCGTACAGTCGGACCCAGGCCAACAAAAAACCCTCCGTCGGCCAAAACACACGGAGCGTCCACGGGTAGCCCCCCCAGGATGCACAAAACCATCCAGCAAGCACGAACAACACTGGGGTGCCCTCCCCGAACCGACCTCGATCTTACACTAGGAGCCTGATCACAAGAAGCCTTCCGCAAGAAACCCAACCCTGGAACCCAAAGGGCGTCCCATGATTTTTGGGGTGGGAGCGTTCCGCTCTCCATCGCGAAACCATCGAAGCACAAGAAGCCCAGGGCACCCTGGAGGCAACCAGGATGTTTCTTGGCATGGGTTTCCACTGCATACCTCGACCCGACGATACTCGAGGAATCGAGGCACCGGATCCTGGGGTTGCGCAGAAGGCGCTCGCCGATGGCCCTCTCACGCGGCCCCTGTCCGTGGAACGCGGGGGAGGTGGAGAGGCGGAGGGAGAAGGGACGGGGGGAGACCTGGGACTGGCGGGGAGGAGACCGGTGTGGAGGAGGGGGGGGGAGGGGAACTCGATGGAAGGAGGGGGGAACCCACAATCGCTCGGACGTCCATTCCCCGTGCATGTTTCGGTTCCGTCCGTTCATGTATCGCGCGATGATCAAAAGATACCCCTCGATGGTCCTCGCAAACAAAAAAAAACGTGCACGCGTCCGAACGATGCAAAGGGAAAAGGGGGGAGGGAAAATGGGGAAATAGAGGATGAAGGAGGGGAGACTTGAACGGTGGGCGTAATCCCACAAACCTGTTTGAGTGGTTCAGCGACATGTATATTCCATCTTCCCTCTTCCCGCTCAGGGACAAATTTATCCTTATTTCTTATGGCTAAACACCCCCAAGCCCCATCTAGTCGGCCGATAGCAATACCGCCGTCCTAACTGTAACAAAAAACTCAAACTCATTTTTTCTCGCCAGCGTGCCGTCGAGTTGCGAAAAATGTAGCAATAACGGTGCGGAATGAACATCGTTCGGGGGGCCCTAAACGGGTCGTCGCGTCCTACCTATCAAAAACAATCGACGCTTCTGTCGTTGACGTGGACTTTCTTGTCGTCGACGCTGCGACAAGTGTAAGAGTAATGGGACGCGGCGCACATCGCACGCGGACGCCTGGCCAACCCTACGCGGGACCCCCCGTCCGACTTGCAAAAAAACCGCAACGTCGACGTTTTTCTTGCCAACATGTACTTTCTCCTCGTCGGCGCTGCGAATCGCGTAGCGGGAATGGGACGCGGCGCGCATCGCGCGGGGACGCCTGCTCTTCAACATGCACTTTCTTGTCGTCGACGCTGCGGCCCGTCGGGTTGACGAGCTGGGCGGGCGGCGAATCAGAATGCCTCAAGCAAGTGCGGTTCGCCGCGAGATTGCGTGGCTAAAATGAAACGCGGCACATTTCGCGCGCTGGACATGTTGTCGCCGACGATGCAACATGGGAGGCCGGAGCGGGGCGCGGCGTACATCGCGCGCGGTCTTGTTTCTCGTCGACGTTGCTCAACACGCGACCGGAATAGGACGCAGCTCATGTCGCGCGCTGAACGATTAGCCGCCCACAATGTAAGATGAGCGACAGGTGTCGGACGCGACGCAGTTGATTCCTATGTTGTGGGAGGGCGGGTGGGAGTGGACGGAATCCTCTGGTTCGTTCGAGCTGGCTAACTTGACACCTCCCTCACCCCCTCCCTCGGGATTTGGACGGGCCCTTTTTAGCAAGGGTTTGGGGCGTCCAAAACCGCCTCGGCGAGGGAACCAACATTACTAATTCCATTCGAGTTTGTGGCCACACGTTGGCCTCCCAGGAGGGGGTACCAATTGAAGAAGCCTTCTCCTTGGATCGATTTCTTCCAAGATGACCCCCGAAGCTACTAATGGGTACCCCAAAGCGACCCTAAGAGGTGCCCAGGAGGCCGAAAACGGCTCCCAACTGGCCCCCCATATCCCCCCTAAGAGGCTCCAAAAAAAACCCAAGAGGCCCAAAGAGGCTCTTCAGATGCATCCAGTATGCCCCAAGCCGCCAAAAGACCCCAACACATCACAGGAGGCTGGCTCCCGGAAGGAAGTCGAAGATATGCCTAGAAGCATCCATGAGGCTTGTGGAATGTGTGTTCGCCCTCCTCCTCCTCCTCCTCCGCCTCCGCCTCCTCTTCCTCCTCCTTTTTGTTGCCTCCTCCCCCCCTCTCCTTCCTCCTCCTGGTCCTTTGATTCCTCCTCCTCCTCCTCCTCCTCCTCCTCCTTTGCCTCCTCCTCCTCTTCATCCTCATCCTCCGATTCCTCCTCCATTTCCCCCCCTGCGGGTATGACGTCTTGCCCAAGCCTTCATTCCAAAGCTCGTCCACACCCCCGATCACGGCAACTCGTCTGGGCATTGTTTCTGGATGGGTTGGTGGGGTTATTCGATGCGTTTAACATTCACTGAGAGCTCCTTCAGCGTCAGTGATGTTCGATGCTGAACGGGGTGGCATGGAGGAAAGGGGGTCCTGACTCTGGCGGGGGGGGTCGGCGATAGATGGGGAAAGTACACCGCGAACAAATCGACGCTGCAGGGCGTCTGGGAGAAAAGGCATCCTGCCCGACTCCTCTGACGCCGCGAGAACATCTAGACATCCTCCAACAATTCTGTTCGATGCTGCAGGGAGGTAGTTGATGATGCAGGACGTCTGGGAACCTATAGATCCGTTGTCCTGATGTTTCCGCACGCGGCCCCCCAAAAATCCGCCGCCCTGACGGCGTGTGCGAGGGGTTTCCTCGTTCGAGTCGTCGTCGTCATCTCCTCGTCGTCTCCGTCGTCGTCGCAGTCGTCTCCTCGCCGTTTCCGCACTCCCTTGTCTCTTTCCCTGGGCCTCTTCTAGCGCCGTTGTAGACTCAAAGAGAAACCCCTTCCCTTTGATCCTTTCCCCGCGCGGGGGGGGGTCCCGGGGGGAGGTCCCGGGGGGGGGGCCGCCACCCAGGTTCGTTTTCCTCCTGGGCGGCCCGGACACCTTCAAGAGTCTCGGAATGAGCCCAAAATGCCACATACGGCGCACAATACGGCCAAGCGAGCTCCGACTCGCTCCAAGATCGCCTCAATACGCCACAGATTGCCCCAATACGGTCCAAGAGGCCTCCCAGATGTCTCAAGGAGCCTCCAAGAGCACCCCCAAGACGCCCCAACATGCCACATCCATGGATTTTCCAGGATCTGTCGGCCTTAACCGCGGTCGCTTCGGTCCAAGACGCCCCAAAAACAGCCCCAAAACGGCTCGAGAAGCTCCAGGCGATCGCCCAAGACGGCCCAAGAGGGCGACCAGACGGCCCAAGAGATCCCCAAGACTGCCCAAAAGGGCCTTCAGAAGGGCTCAAGACGGGGAGCCCGAAACGCCAGTTCGAACCTGGCGCCCCAAAGAAGCTTTCAGGAGGCCCCTTACGCCCCTAAGAGGCCCGAGAAGACCCCCAAGACGTTCCCAAGAGGCCCAACAGGCCCCTTAAAGGGCCCGAAACGACTCCCTCCTCCTCCTCCTCCTTCTCCTCCTCCTCTTCCTCCTCCCCCTCCTGGGAATGGACTACACGAGGGCCTAAGTCTGGCACAGATGCCAGGGCCCTGATCAGAACTTGAAGCAGAGGACGGCCGTCAGCGAGATGATGCACTGGCCTCAACTCCAGCCGCGCAGATGGCAGCGCCGAGGTCTCGCAGAAGCCCGTCGACGTTCTGTTTCTCCTGCGCCGTCTGCGCGGCTACGTGCGCCTCCACGCCCTGCATGGAGGCCGCCCCCTCGTCGAGCACCGCGCGGCGCCGCCGCCGCCCCGCGCGGGCCGCCGCCGCGCCCGTCGGCAGGGCAGTGATCCCCCTCAGGGGCCCTGCAGCGCAGAGAGCGGCCGCCGCAACTGCGTGGCAGGGCAGCCATCCCCCTCTAGGGCCATATGGCAGTGCTGGCCTTCGCGTCCACCGCCGCAACTGCATGGCAGGGCTGCCGGCGCTTCACGAACGGCTGGTGCCTCTGCCGCCCCTGCATTCCGAGGCGCATGGTCTGCTCGAGCAGCTGCTCGAGGGGAACGAAGGGCTGGGCGGTCGGGTCGGGCGTCCACGCTCCCGCCGCCGTGATGGCGTCGGCCTCGCTCACCACCTCCGCCCCTGCGTACGCGAAGACAGTGGTGCCACAGGTGCATGTGAAACCGCACCGCGGCGAGGTCCCCGTAGGCGTCGGCGTCGCAGGCACCACATGATCAGCTCCTTTGTCCCGCCATGCCCTTCCGCGGGAAAGGCGCTGCACCCCGTTGAACTGCTTGAAATTGAGGCCAACCAGCTGGGCCATGGGCACGTCGAACACGTGCTTGGCCACGTTCCGCATGGTCGCCTCGAGCCGCGAGTGCACTGCGGTGTCACCGCGGCGTCTGGCAGCCACTTCCTCTTCCAGGTAGGGCACGATGGCGTCCACCGTGCGCTGAACCTCGGGATCCTCACTCCTGCGGACCTGCAGCTCCAGACCAAGGACGTGCTGCTCTAACAGGATCTTCTCATCCATGAGTCTCTTCACGAGGTTCTCGGCCGACTCCGCGGCCCGCACGCGCCGCTGCCGCCAGGCTGCCGCGCTGCCTACTGCTTCTCGCCACACTCCAGGGGCGAGTCCCGCAACCATCCAAAGCGAACACCCAGCGGCCAGCACCATGAGCTAAGCACATTGAGCCAAGACGTTGGGGGTGAAGCGGCTTGAGCCAAAATGGCTACGGCTCCTCCTCCCCCTCCAGCTCCTCCTCCTCCTCCTCATCCTCCTTCTCCTCCTCCTCCTCCTCCTCCTACTGCTCCTCCTGCTCCTCCTGTCCTCCTCCTCCTCCTCCTTTTCCTCCTTCCCTCCTCCGCCCCCCTTCGCTCCCGAAACGACTCCCTCCTCCTCCTGCTCCTCCTCCTCCTCCTCATCATCTTCCTCCTCTCTTCCTCCTCCTTCTTCTCCTCCTCATCCTTTTCCTCCTTCTCTCCTCCCTTCCCCCTTACCCCTTGCTCCCCCTCCTCCTGCCTTTCCTCGCCCCCAGGAATCAGGCAGCATCCAAGAGCATGTTCCTCCACCCCATTCTCCTCCTCCTATTCCTCCGTCTGGTCCTTCTCCTCCTCCCTCCTCCCTCCTCCTCCTCCTCCTCCACCCCCCTCCTCCTCCTCCTCCTCCTCCACCTCCTCCTCCTCCTCCCTCCTCCTCCTCCTCCTCCGCCTCCTCCTCTTCCTCCTCCTCCTCCTTCTCCTCCTCCTCCTCCTCCTCCCTCCCCTCTCCTCCTCCTCCTCCGCCTCCGCCTCCCTCCTCCTCCTCCTCCTCCCCGTCTTTTCCTCCTTGTCCTCCTTTTCTTCTGTTCCGCCTTCCCTCCTTCGCCCCCCTTTGCTCCCGAAACTCCTGCTCCTCCTTCCTCCTCCTCCTCCTCCTCCTCCTCCTCCTCCTCCTACTATCCCTATTCCTATTCCTATTCCTCCTCCTCCTCCTCCTCCTCCTCCTTATCTTATTCCTCCTCCTCCTCCTCCTCCTCCACCTCCTCCTCCTCCTCCGCCCTCCTCCTCCTCCTCCTCCTCCTCCTCCTCCTCCTCCTCCCTCCGCCTCCTCTTCCTCCCCCATAGTTTCCCTTGTCCTCCTTTTCCTCATGTTCCTCTTCCCTCCTTCGCCCCCTTTGCTCCCGAAACTCTGCGCCTCCTCCTCCTCCTTCCTCCTCCTCCTCCTCCTCCTCCTCCTCGTCCTCCTCCTCCTACTATCCCTATTCCTATTCCTCCTCCTCCTCCTCCTCCTCCTCCTCCTGATCCTCATCATCAGCATCAGCATCAGCATCAGCATTAGCATCAGCATCATCACCATCATCATCAGCATCATCCGCATCATCCGCATCATCATAATCACCATCATCAGCATCATCATCATCATCATCAGCATCAGCATCAGCATCAGCATCATCATCATCATCATCATCATCATCATCATCATCATCATCATCATCAGCATCATCATCATCATCATCACCATCATCAGCATCATATTCATCATCATCAGCAGCAGCAGCATCATCATCACCATCATCATCATGATCATCATCAGCAGCATCATCAGCATCATCATCATCAGCATTAACAGCATCATCATCATCAGCAGCAGCATCAGCATCAGCATCAGCATCAACATCATCATCATGCTGCTCCTCCTCTTCTTGCTCTTTCTCCTCCTCCTCCTCGCCTTGATTCTCCTTTTCCTCATCCTCCTCCTCCGTCCCCGGTCATCCTCCCCCTTCTCTTCTTCATGATTATCCTTCTCCTCCTCATCTCCCTCGTCCTCCTCTTCCTCGTCCTCCTCCTCTTCGACCTCATCTCCCTCCTCCTCTTCGACCTCCTCTTCCTCCTTCTCTTCGACCTCATCTCCCTCCTCCTTTCTCTTCCTCCTTCCCCTCTTCCTCCCTTGTCCTCCTCCTTCTCCTCCTCCTCGTACTCCTAATCCTATTCCGCCTCCTCCTTCCTCCTCCTCGTACTCCTTCCTCCTCCTCCTCCTCGTCCTCGTCCTCCTCCGCCTCCTCCTCCTCCTCCTCCTCCTCCTCCTCCTCCTCCTCCCACTCTCTTCCTCCTCCTCTTTCATTTTCTCCTCATCTCCTCCGGTCGGGTCGTCGTCTCTGTCGTCTCCTCGTCGTCTCTGTCGTTGTCACAGTCGTCTCCTCGCCGACTCCGTCGTCCCCCCTGTCTTTGCGCTGAGCCCTACTCCTCAAGCGTGCCACTAAAGCGAAAATAAACAGCATCGTTAGTGTTGTCCACTTGAAGCCCCTTTTCCTTCAATCCCTTCCCCGCGAGGAGAGGGGTCCGGGGAGGGCCCGGGGGAGGGTCCCCGAAGGAGGTCGGCGACAGACGTCTCCCCCTCGCGCGATCCCGAGCCCCATTCCCCCCCCCCCTCCTCCTCCCTCGTCCGCCTCCTCCACCCGTCCTCCTCCTCCCACTTCTCCTCTTTCTCCTCCCACTCCTCCTCTTCCTCCTCCCCCCCCTCGATTTCATCTTCGTCGTCTTCAGGGTCGGCGGCACCGGCTGTAAGGCCTTCGCAATCTCAATCCTCTCTGCAGGGCTGGCTTCTCATCCTGAGCCATTGTCTGCCTGCCTTGGGGCCCTGGCGAGGGCCCCCAGCCGTAAAGGGGTGAAATTTCGCATCGCGTTTTTCTTCAACACGCAGGGGGGCGTGTGCGAACGAGGGCATCCTGACGGACCTGCACCGACGCCGCGAGAAAGGCTGAACCTCCTCCTGTGACGTTCCCAGAGCACGTGGGCTCCCGGAGCGTGAGGGGGGAGCGCTGTGGGGGGGACCAGCTCGTGCGGGGAAACACCGACCATCGATCGGCGATAGGCTTATGTCGGGCGTGTCCCCCTACAGGGGTAATTTCGACGGAAAAATCCAAAAAGGTAAAAACAAAAAAAAAGCATAATCCCCAGACTATGTTTGTATTATTTTTGGAACATTTTTGGGGCTTTCGTCGAAAATCCCCCTGTAGGGGGACAGGCCCGACTTAACGATAGGCCCCCGAGACAGCGTGCCAGTCCTGGGAAGGGTGGGCCACTGGGCCCACACATGGGGCGATCCGTGGGCGATCGAGGGCCGCTGCACATCCCCCCCCCCCGGGAGCCCAACCACCGCCCCCCTCACATATTGGGCGGCGCGCACAAAGGGGGTGGCGGGAGGGGGGAGGGCTTCTTAGCAGGAGGCTGCTTCTCAGAGGGCGCCGGCCTCAGATCCGTAGGTAAGGCCCGCGCCTTCTGGGACGCAGGGGTGCTTCTAAGAAGCCCTCCCCCCTCCCCCCACCCCCCTCACAGGTGCGTGGCTGACAGCTGCCCCCGAGCGCCTGGCATCGCGAGCCGCGCCGCACGCTCGGGGCGTGACCCGTCCCCCCAAAGCGGCCTCGCCCCCCTCCCGCCGATCCTCTCTCGGCCGCTTCCCCTGCCGCCCTGCCCCCCCTCCTCCTGCGTGGTGGCACGCGAGCCGCTGCAGCGGCACCCCCGTTCTGCTAGCTCTTAGCTCTCCGCCAGCGCAGCTGCTCTGCTTGGCCGCCGAGCTTGGGATTGCGAGCTGAGCCCGAAGCGAGAGAGAGAGAGATAGGTTCGGCCAGCTAGCGGGCCACACGCGAACCCTACCCCTACCCCCCACGATTTCTGAGGGGGAGGGTGGGGTTCCCTTCGCTCGGGAGCCCAGCCTGACCCGCCCCACTTTGGAGTCCCGAAACGGTGCGGTGGTGACAAACCGTGCGGTGGCCTCGAGATCCCGCAAGACCTCCCTGCACGGTCCGCCACCGCACGGTCTTGTGGGACCCCGGAGGCCCCCCGTCGCCCGAGACGTCCTCGGAGAGCGGCCCGCGTCCCAACACCGTGCGGTGACCCCGAACCCCCACCGACTCCCCGCACGGTGTGGTCACCACTCCGTTTGGTGCCCTCCCCGGCCTCCTGCAGGTGCCCCCGCGGCTCCGGAGAAGCCGGAGAAGCCTCGGAGAGGAGGAGGAGGAGGAGGAGGAGGAGGAGGAGGAGGAGGAGGAGGAGGAGGAGGAGGAGGCCACCACCCCGTTTGGGGGCCCCAGCCTGGCCCGCCCCACCGCCAGGGCCGAGCCGCGCGCCCGGCCCGGCACGGCCCGGCACGGCCCGACGACGCGCACGGCCGGCGGCCGTGCGGCTCCCCGTGGCGGCACGCTGGAGGTGCGCCTGGCTGCAGGCCGCGCCTCTGGCCGAGCGCGCTCCACCGCTCGCAGAGCAACTGCTCGCACATGGCCTACGATCTACGATCTAACGCGATCTATTAGGATCCCCCGCTCGCCGCGGGGGATCTGCGATCTATCGCGTCGAGGCGAGCGTGTTCTTGTTTTCCGGACGTCTGCGAGCAGGCGCTCTGCGCGTGGAGGGACCGCGCTCGGTGAGGCTTGGCCGACCCGAGCCGGCCGGGCGTCTCACGGCGCCTCCGGCTGAGGCGAAGCGCGGCGGGGGCCAGGGCGGTCCCCGGGCCCGGAGCCGCGGCACGCAGCGGCGCCTGCGCGCGCGGGAGCTCAGCAGAGCGACCCGCAGTCCAGCCCGGAGCTCCTCGCCAAGGGAGGAGGCGGAGAGGCGCAGAGGGGGGAGCGGAGAGGAGGGTCGGGCAGTCCAGGTGCGCTGGCGCCATAGCTGACATCCCACCCCCCTCCCGCCCCTCCCATCCCTTCGCACTGCGCTGATGTTTCTCCATGCGCCGGCGCGTGTCGCAGCGGACCTGGAACTTCACAGGCGACCGAATCGTGGTATGCACAATCAGAAAGGGAAGCTGCGTACATTTGAGGAGGAGGAGGAGCAGGAGAAGAGCAGGAAGAGGATAATCAGGAAGGGCTCGGACGAACAGCAGCAGCAGGAGCTGGAGTGGGAGGAGTGGAAGGAGCGGGAGGACCAGGAGAAGGCGCAGGAGGGGAAATGAGGGGAGCGACAACGATGGAAAGGGGATCCAAAAAAGTGGCCCGCGCTGGGTCGAGAGAACGCAATTCTGAATCCGATCCGAAAATGAGGCCCGCGCTGATGCGGGAACACATGTTTTGAAACACCCGAAACAATCGGACTGAAGCTAGTTGAACGAAAAATCACCTGTGTCCAATCTTGTGTGGGAATCAGTCCGCGGAGAGGCTGGGACATCTTCCGGACAGGGTCAGGGGCGAGAGGATATTAGAATGCATGGTGAGTAGTTGTCTACATGCTTC